AACAACGGCTGTTTTAGCTGCAGAAAGGGAAATCCCGATCTTTAAAAGGCAGTTGGCAGCGCCGGTTATTAAACCAGAAGCGAAGAGTTGTTTCTGGCTCCGGTCCCTGCTTCCCTCCCTTTGATTTTTCTTTTTTCTTTGCTGGCTCTCATCAGGACACTTGTTCAACTTTGGATGATGCCGGACGCTGCTTGCTAGATCTGAAAGGAAACAAAGAATAGAATATTTTTTAAAGATGTTTTCGCTGCAAACAATGTTAATCTCATTGAAGGTGGTGTTGTCCCAGAGTGATTTGCTGTCCTTCGCTTAATTTGGACTCTGTGAAGTCCATGGAAAAAACTGTCTAAAACAGTCTCTTCCCTAAAAATAGAGAGACATACACGGATCTGATTTGTGAATCCCATTGATATTCCCCCTTCTTCTGCTCTTTCATTAAACAGCTCCTAATTTATCAGCCTGCCAAGACAGGAGTCTGCAGGTACTAATGCTTTAGCCGATCAAAGCTTCCCTTGCCAAAGGTGGCATTTGAATTCAGACGATGCTTGTGGGTCAGTGGCTCTCCCCGACTTCACTTTGTCCCACCCAGGCTCTTACTAGTATTCTTTCTTTTCTCCGTGCCATAGGGTGGCTGTTGGAGAGGCTGGCCAGGGCATCTCTGAGCCCAGAGGCAAGAGGCTTTACTTGAAGGGCATCTCTGAACCCAGAGGCAAGAGGCTTTACTTGAAGCGCAGGCTGGTTTAGAGGTGCACACAGGGGCTAAGGCGTCCATAGCTATGGTGGTGTTGCAGTATGCCTGCGTGGAGGAACTGCTGAAGGACCAGGCTGGTAAATTTTGCTCTTGTGCCGTCAGGATTGGGATGTAAAAGCACCTCTTTGCCCAGAGACCCTCGAGGAAGGAGCCTCAGTTTGCATTGCGGTCAGCTGGCAGGGAGATGATGACCTAAGGTTGGTTAGGTGGGGAAGGACTCAGTGGAGCCATGCAGGGGAATTTTGTACCCTGACACCAGCAGCAGCCGGCTGCAATTTTCCTCATCTGGTTGTGTTTTCTGATCTTCTCTCCCCTAGTGCACTGAGCTTTGTGGGAGTCCTCCTCTGAAGTAGCTCCAAAGTTGTTAGCTCCAGGTAGCTGCTGGCTGAGAGCAATCAGACCTGGCCGTGAGGGAGGGGGGGGCACAGGAATGCAGGAATGTCTTGTTCCTGGGGCATTTCCTCTTGGGGAAGGAAGATGGGAAGGGATCCTCGTCTGTAAGTAATCCAAGAGCAAAACGTTTCTCCCCTTGCAGACAATGAACTGTTTCAGCGAGCTGACACTGTTATTTGTGGCTTCTGGCAAACCAGATAAGAGCTTTCTGCCAGGCACTTGCTCAAACCATGCCAGCCCCAGCCTTGCTGATTGCCTTTCTCTGTTGCACTGGGTGGGAAAGAAGCCTTTGTGTACCACGGCAGCAATCACAGTGGTGCGTCTGGGTGAAGGGAGGCTGTTGTGGATCCCCTTGCTTACACAGTCACTGATTCTGGTCCTTGTATCTCCGTGCCTTTTTATTTTCCAGAGAGAGGATGCCACTTTGGAGAGGGAATTTTTCTTGCCTGGCTCTGCTCATG